CTCACCAATCCTGGTGACTCCACTTCCACCACCACCCAATGCCGTAGGCGCCGTCAATGATGTAGACCCAGGTTGATGTAGTAGACCAGGAGGACGCTCTGGAAGGACTCCCCGATGCTGATCTTCTCCATGATCCCTCGCATCCAGCTTTCTGGCATTCGGACCGAGGCCAGCGTTCAGCTTGTCCCCCGCACTGTCCACCGGCTTGAAGGGTGAGGAATCGGCCCCTCGCACAACGCGGTTCGCCTCCTTCTCTCCTGCGCAGTAGGGCTCCTCCGAGTCTCTTCATGAGGGTGGCGGCCTCGATCGGAGCGAGTGCCAGGTTCAGGGACTTGTCCACGATCGCTCCAGAAAGGGTTCACTGGTTGCCGAGCCGGCTGATGTGGCGTCGCAATGACATACGGATCTAAGATTCTGGGTAGAAGCCCCCCCTCAACAGCACCCACACCATGATCCAACCGGGCACTGAGGTGATGAGCTCTTGGGCGGAGGAGGTTCAAAGCCAAATTGCCCTCCAAGGTATCCACGGTCGGCACCATGACAATGTCCCGAATCGTGCGCATGAAAAATAGGTCCAAGTAGTCCATGAAGAGGAGGAGGTCCAAGTGAGGTGGGACCCTGTGTTCCATGTCCAAAGGCCCTCTGTAGTCATCCAGGGACTGCCTCACCGTTTCTTGCCAACTCTCCGTGGTCCCGGAAGCCCGACCATGCCCTGCTTGACCACGTTGGATCTGAGGTCCACCACTCTGACCACCTCCCGCGGTAGATGCCGATGGCGCTCCTCCAGCAATGGGCGCAGGCGCAGCAGCCGCAACTCTCCGGACCGCAGCTGGCATGGAGCTCGCTCTGCCTCCTCAATCAAGGTGTCCAGCCTCTCATCCGCAGCGCCCACACGAAGGCTGCCCTCACGATCAGCGGGGTCTCTCAGGCGTCCACCTTCGCGGGAGGACCGTCTTCTCCGCTGCGCAGCGAAGCCGCTCATGGGGACCAGCGACTCTGAGACAATCAGAGGTGGACTTCCAAAAAAAAAAGGTCGCACGGTTTTGGGCTCATAACCTGTGCTTCCGAAAAAGGATGAAAAAGGGAATGTCTGTGAGGCAGCGCGGACTACTTTTCTTGAGCCAAACAAAGGTCGTTTTTGACCATGGTTTCATCACGTCTAGGTTTCAAAGCTTTGCGAGCATGGCGAAGCAGGGACAGCATGGACTTCCACACCCACAGAAATCTTTCAGTGTCATTTCATTTCTCACAAAAGCCCAACCCTTTCCCTAATCGAGTTGTGAATTTGCGCCAATTGTTTCGCAAGTTTACTTTTGGCCTTTTCTTTTGGCAGCGTCTTGATTTTGTTTCTGTAGTATTGTTTTTTGCTTTTGCTGCTCTTGCTTTTGCTTGTGTTTCCTTCCGGCTTTGTGCTCTTCCTGCTCCTGCTTTTGTTTTTGCTGTTTTTCGTATGCTTTTGCCTGTCCCGCTTTTGCTTTTGGGTTTGCTTCTCCTGGTTTTCCTGTTTTTGATTCTGCTTCTTGCATGTCTTTCTTCTGCTTTATCTGGCAAGAAGAACCACAGTTGAATGTAAGGCCTTCAAAAGTGCCGCTCCCTACATACCCACCCAACCCTACCCAAAGATCCTGCTCCTTTTGGGATGTTTCAAGCCTTTGTGTATCTGGCACTGGCACCATTATAGATGGCTGTGTGTTTTTGTGGCTACTTGGCAGGTTTGGGGAGAGTTCACTATATATGTCGAAGTGGTATGTGTGAACACGGCCCCTGACTGCAAGAGATCAGAACCCCAGTAGAACTACGGTTCAGTTCAAAGGCTTCTTGGAACTTTCAACACTGCAGCCGTCATTGAAGTTCTTCCCAGAACTCTGGCGTTTTACCAAGAACTTTCTGGCACCACATCCTTTGAACGCATTCTTGCCTTAGCAGCAGCAAGGGGTTCAGTAGCGTGTGGCCACCATCCTTTGCCGTAGCAGTCTGTACCAGCAAGAGGGCTTGAGCGGCTTGCAGAGGTTCACTGTATATTACGAAAGCCTGCCGATAGGCTAGGCTTGAGCGCTTAGAGCGAACGAAGGTGAGTTAAGGGGGTGTGGGGGGGGGAGGGCGCGAAAAGGCACTGCAAAGAGTGCACGCTCTGTGAGCGAACGATGTGAGCATGTCCAGTTGGGCGAGGTAGAGGCTTGGAGATAAGAGCGCCGCAAGAAAAGAAGCAAGAAAGCTGCAAGCGTTCAACACTTCATGCTGTGCTCCGATCTTGATCTCAGTCGCAGTGATGCCAGCTCCACAAAACTACAGGCTTTCAATTATAGGTGCTCTGCTATTTTTTCCTCCCAGCCCTGCTCTCTATAGGGCTTCGCATTGATGCACGATACCCGAAACACATTTCAACGCAACCACAAGAACCATTTCGGGCGTCATTCTCCTGGTGTTCACTGACGTTTATTTTTGCACGGGTTGTCAATAGAACACCAACAAGGGGCGCTCCAGAAGGCGCCGCACCAAGCAAATCAAGAACGCTAAAAACATTCAACACCTCATGCTGTGCTCCGATCTTCATCTTCGTCGCAGTGATACCAGCGCCACGAAAACTACAACCATTCAAGAATGAGTGCTCTCCTCTTTTTTTCCTCTCCCAGCCCTGCTCCTTATAGGGCTTCGCATTGATGCACGACGCCCGAGACACATTTCAAAACAACCAACAACCACCTTTCGGGCATCCTTCTCCTGGTCTTCACTGACGTTTATTTTTACACGGATTCTCAAGTAGACCACCTGTCAGGGACGCTCCAGAGAGCACCGCGCCAGGAAAATCGAGAAAGCCTGAAACATTCGACACTTCATGCTGTGCTCCGATCTTGATCTACTCCACGTTGATACAAGCTCCACGAAAGCTACAGGCATTCAACAATAAGTGCTCCGCCATTTTTTCCTCCCAGTCTTGCACTACCGTATTGGTCTCTCGCTGGCTTTCGTCCTCTCCTTTCTCAGGTAATTATATACATGGATTTGGGGGACAGTGTGTGTGAACTGTTTGCTGTAACCTGGTGTCACCTGTGCCGAAAGACCTGGATGCACAGCCTGCATTCGCTCCACCATGCTCGATTGCCATCGGCGAAAATTGCGCCATGCCTTTCAGGGAAACACGTCTCAGCAAGTCACAATCTCTCAGACCTTCTCACAACAAAACAAAGAAATACATAAAATTCCAGATGGGTATATAGGGAAAAAGCTCATAGTGCCTGAGGGAAAAAATCCAAATGTCTAATAGCTTTCGTTGTCAATGAGCGGTGCCGCTGCCAAGGGCTTGTTCACCTTGCCAGGGACCAGCACCAGCACGCCACACAAAACGCCGATCCAGCAGCAGCAGCACCAGCGCCAGCACCCACGCCAGCACGCCCCAAGAAAACGCCGATCCAGCGCCAGCACCAGCGCCAACACCAGCACCCACACCACGCGCCCCAAGAACGCCGATCCAGCACCAGCGCCCGCGAGAAAGAAGATGACGCTCATGAACAAAAGATAAACATGAAGTTCATCAAACAAAGATGAAGATGCGGCGCACGAAACGGGGATGACGATGAAGATCATGAAACGAACATAAAGATGCAGTTGGCATCAGGATCGTGCATGAAATGGTTGGAGCGAAGATGAAGCGCGTGAAATGAAGACGAGGATGTAGTTCAGTAGAAGGTCCAAAAAGAAAAAGTCACGCAGGGGCCCAGGACGGTAACCATTTACTTCATTATTTTAATTCTGTCAAGCTGAAGCACCAGACTGGTGCCTTCGAGCAGGTGTGCGAAACTCAGGCTAGAGACAACTCCATTTCTGTGCGATTGCTAGATTACCCTTTAGGCGACCCAGGCGAAGAGACAACACGTGCAAAGCAGAGCGCAAAGCATCCCAAACAGAGACAACTGTACCTCACAACTTCTCTGACTCACAGGATTTCCAGCCAGACCCTTACGAGCAACGGTGGATAAGAAGCCAACCCATGAAAAACAAATTCCACCAGTCTTCATCCACCACCGTTTCTGAAACGAATTTGCCCCAGGGAACCAAGTACAAGTATCGATGACGGAATCCATATACAAACGGCCAACGAGGAACCACGGATCCAAAACTGGGTGATCTTCAAAGGACCTGTCGCCCAACCTGAGAAGCACCACAAACGTGAAACTCTACACCGCTGTCCCCTCTCAAAAAAATGGTCGAAGTGTGGCGGCTGACAAAATCCTGAAGCAACGTGAAAATTGTCCAAAGACTAGGAAGTGGAAAGACCCGCAGCCATTGATGGCGCGTGGTCCAACTACCTTCTCTTCCCCAGCTACACCACGGGTGTATTAAAGTTATTGCTTTTCATTTGGCTCACCATTTTGTCAAGCAGCGAAGTTGGCAAAAGTGCTGCTACCTACCCACCCAACCCTACCGAAAGTTCCTTTGTTCGTCCTGTTCCCAACTCTACCAACGTCCCATCATTTGGCACAAAGCCCGATAGCAGCGGAAGTAGGTTCAAAAAGTGCTGAGTACCACCGCAAGTTTCACATCCACCACCAAGCATGTTGGGTCAACGGGCGGGGCCTTGCCCCGACCCGTCGAAATGTAAAGAAAACACTGTGATTCGCAGGGCTTAACGACCTATTTATAGAGGTGCCTTGAGTCCGCGTCTTCGAGCTGCGCTGTGATGTCCGGGCAACGACCCCTGTCGAGCCAATAAGTTGAAACAAAGTGGAGAGAGGGCGATAGAGAGAGAGAGAGGGAGGGAGGGACGGCCTGATGTTCAAAACGCTGTGAATACCAACGGGAAGTCAACACTGTTGAGAAAACACATCCAACTGATTATGCACTCTCCCCTAGTCACTAGTCTTTTACTATTTTACTTCCCTGTACAACTTGACTGCACCTTTTGATTGCTAGGAAACTCACACCTTTTCCCTCACTTCTTAAAATCCTTTCACGTTCTCAGTTCCATTGACAGAAAATCCTGAACCAATTCCGAGCCGCAGGCTGGCCTATCTTTCTCGCAGGCGCCGGGACCGCCTTGTTTCTTCTGTGTGACGTTGCTGGCTGGATTAAATTGGTAGGACGGGCAATGGTTGGCCGTTCGTGGGCCTGCAGTCGTCAAGACTTTCTCTCAGATGGCTGCATCACTGGGGTTTCTGTGTGCGCGCGCGCATGCAAGGATGCTGCCGCTGGCAAATGTGAAGCAGGGCTTGCCGCCTCCAAACCCTCAATGGGAACAGACCTTAGTTTCTCAAGTTCCCACTGCGATCCTATAATAGATGTATGCTGTCGGCATATTTTTGTATATGCAGATTATATGTGTATACTGTATTATTGTTCTTGATTGATTGATTCCTAGGTTGCGTTTGACGGGCAGGCAGGGAGAACCTACAAGAAACCGTCGATGCAATCCAATCACCAAAGACTGAGACATTTGCTTGACTCACTCATCTTTCTGTGAGCGAGATGAGGGCTCCATCTTGCCAAGTTTTCCCTTTTGATCATGGTTCGGTTCAATATTCTTTTGATCACAGTTCTATGAATCTATGCCGTGAGGATCTTGGGAGGGCGGTGCTGTCATGGTCCTCAAGGCTGAAAAGAAAGTGAGTGGGCTTAGCTATATATATATATAGACAGGTTTTTGCCCGAAGCAGAGGTTTTTGAGCCAGCATGGGTTCAAGTACTCCATGATGCTTGAAAGTCTGGTTTTGTGCCTTGGGGCTCATGCGTCGTGGCTGGTGTTTCTGCAGCCCCAGGCAACATAAATTGGGAGAGATGCGTAAACTGCAGAGAGGAGAATACAAAATCATTACTCTATTGTATTCTGTTCTGCTTTGCGAGGCCTGGGCCAGCAAAGTCCTCGGTTTTTGTTCAAAGATGACTAATCAATTTCTATAGTTGACAGTACTTGACATTCTCTCCTTTTATTGCAATCCCCGTGCTGCTACCGCTCTATTTCTTCATGTTGCTCCCAGGCTGGAAACACGCCGCAGCATCAAGTCAAGCTGCACTCTAATGGAACGATGCTGGAGTACAGAACTCAAGGGGCGGTTATGTTCCTTGAAGTGGAAGAAGCCCATGGCCCGTGGCACATGTCCTGACTGATGAAATGGTGAAGAAGTCTTGGAAAGTTGACGAGTCGGGCAGAATGTATTGTATACTTTCTTCGCCGAGAACGGGTCGAGCAGAAACGCCTAATCCCAAAAACAAGCCAAGAAGAAATCATAAACATTTGTCAAGAAAGCCAGCGAGCCAAGTTAGGTGGGGTGCTCTTGCTGTAGTTCGTCCTATTGACAGGAGACCGGACTGCACCTTCAAGATATCATATGTTGAATATACTGTATGTCTTCCCAGCTGAGAAGCTCTGCGGTAGAGCCACGGAAGAACGGTGATCGTGACATTCATGGCATTCACGCATGGTGCCAATCGCCTCACTACATGACTCACAGTGTTGAGCGGTCTCTTTCATGTCTCAAGCTTCAGGTGCATGCATCAGGTAGCAGTTGAAGCCTTTCGCTTTCTGACCCAGCTGGTTTGGCTTGGTGTGTCTGGCTCATTGTGCCTCCTCAACCATGCCATTTTTAACTTCGCCCTCTTCATTTCGGGCTCTGCTTGTGGCTCCTTGACCGCCTTTGCTCTTGGATTTTGGCTGTGCTTGAGGGCCTCTCTGGCCACTCGCCTGTCTGCATGCGTGGGAGCGCTTTGGGCATATTCTTTGAGCTCATGAGAAGAGTACGCTTGCTGACACGCTTGACACGTGGCAGAGAGCCGTGGGCCGTGGCTTGGATCATCGCTTTGAGGACGCTCCACAGACGGTCCCGTTGAGTGGGATTTCATTAGCTGCGGCAATGCCAATGCCAGGCCCACGAGCGATTTGCCGGCAGGGCTTGGATCGCTGGTCGCCGGGCTCGCGCTACTTTGTCGGTACACCCAAATGTTTGCGAGGCTAGCGTCTAGATCGTCCTTCGTTCGGGTTGGTGCTGCTGCTGGGTGCTTCAAGATCTTCAAGCCGGTGCCCAAGTTCGAGGATTCAGTCTCCCATTCCTTCCCATCCACTGGTGAGGGAAAAGTCTATTGCTTGGCTATTTGGCTGCAGGGTGTCGTTCCCTGATCCGGCTCCACAGGCACAGTGACCGTGTTGCCAGCAAGAACCCCCCAGCACCAGGAGGACAAGGAAGGACAAGAGAAGAAGCAAGAGAAAAATACAAGGTTGGCCGGCCAGCAGGACAACTGCAAGCACGGGAGGGTGAGAAAAGGACTAGAGGAGGACACGGGGTTGGCCAGCGCGGCCAGAGGACTACACCAAAACTGCAAGCGCCAAGACCAGCTCTTGTTGCCCAACTCAGAGCCCCAATTGTGCCGGCTGCCAGCATAAGCCCCAAACAGTGTCAGCTTTATTTTTCAGCGTCAGCCCCTCGTTTTCTAATGTTGGTGGGAACATTTGCAAGTAGCTGTGTGGGAAACAAAAAAGATGAAACACAAAGGTCCTGATGCCTGGTCACAATCCGAGGATGATATCAATGGTGAGATGCTGCATCACTGTGGCATTCAGAGCCACACGAAAACACACGTGGACAAGGCGGCGCAGAAAGAAAAACAGCGGCGTGGCCAAGCAAGGGACAAGTCCAGACAAACAAGGCCTGGACACAGAGTTCAGGGTAAGAGGGAACCCCAACAACAGACTGTTTTGGTGAAAGGGGCCCGGGACCTTTTTCCGAGAGTCCTGGCAGCTCTGCGGCGAAGGATGCCATAGAGGGTGCCATAGCACTGCGGCCACTCCAAAAAAAGACCAGGTCTGTCAGAAACTTTTTGAGTTCGACCTCTGCCAGCAGGTTTGGAGAATGCCCCCCCTGTCCACACGGTTTGATTCTGGGAGTGACATTGGCCAACCTCAGGGGCAAGAGTTTCAACGTAGCCGGGTGGAGCAAGCGGTGCAGCGTGGCTCTTGTCACCTCACGAAGATCCCCCATTAGAATTGTTATGTTTCAGGCTCGACCGCCATCGGCGAACCCAAGACTGAAAGTTTTTGTTCCTTTGTACTTTGTGCCCGCCCGGTGAAGGAAATCGATTTGACCAGGGCGCGACTGAGTATTCCTTGCCTGGTGAAATCGCAGTCGCAGCCCATGTTCCCACGCGAGCTCATGTTCTACTTTCCCTCAGAAATCTTCTGCCGCAAAAGGGGGGCCCCGCGCAATACACTTTTGAGTCCGGAGTCCTGAGCCGCCGACTTCGTGGGCCAGCGATCAGTTTCCCCGTGTTTTTGCCGTATTTTCTGCTGGCGCCGGGTGGTTTCACAAGCCTCTCTGAAAAACTCTTTTCCCGTTGCGAAGCCTGGGATCTTTTAAGCGGTGAGATGTGGTTCACGCGAAGAGGATTTGACAAGGCGTTTCGCTCTGAGATCCCGCCACTTTCAATTTCATCTGCGGACCTCGTAGCAAGGCCCTGGTAAGAAAGCGCTTTCGGTAGCTGTGGGAGACCTTCCATGTTCCCCTAGGCAGTGTGGCTTTGATTACTGTAATTGCTGCTTCAAGCAGAAGCAGGAAGGCCTGTCGTTGGAGCAATTGTTTTTCGGCGTATCGGCGCCGCACCGATATCCCCCCAGCCCCGGATATCGGCGTATCGGCGCAGCTCAGAAAAAACCCGCCATGCCACCACGCTGATAAGTTATACTACATTCCGGTAGTCTTACTGCCGTTCGGACTGGTCACACATGAAAGAGACGAGTCCGTGCGTCAAGGCCCCTTCTTTCTGCAGCCGTTCGACCAACACCAACACAGCAAGGCCGAGACGAGGCATGAGGCATAGAAAAGCTTGCCAGGGAAGAGCCAGATGATGACTGCGAGGTTCTTCGAGCAACCAGCCACAGGCAAGACCCCAAGCCTTGCGGAAGACGGGCGCGTTCATGCCCTATTGCCTGCAATGGCATTGATCGGTTCCGCATACTGGTTGCGCGGCCGTCCATCCTGGTATATGTACAACTCACGTCCTCACCTACGATATCCGGGGCTGGGGGGATATCGGTGCGGCGCCGATACGCCGATATCCGGGGCTCGGGGGATATCGGTGCGGCGCCGATACGCGGATATCCGGGGCTGGGGGGATATCGACGCGGCACCGATACGCCGATATCCAGGGCTGGGGGGATATCGGTGTATCGGTGCGGCGCAGGGGCTGGGGGATATCGGTGTATACACCGATCGGTGCGGCGCAGGGGCTGGCGAGATATTTGTGTGTCAGTATGTCGGCGCGGCGCAGGGGCTGGCGAGATATCGGCGTATCGGTGCGGTGGAGGGGGGCTGTCGGTGTATCGGTGTGTCGGTGCGGCGGAGGGGGCTGGTGATATATGTGAGTATCGGTGTATCGGTGCGGCGCAGGACATGGCGAGATAGCGTTGTATCGGGTGTATCGGCGCGGCGCAGGAGCTGTTGGGATATCGGCGGAATATCTATGTTTGGGTGCGGCGCAGGGGCTGGGGGATATCGGTGTATCGGTGCGGGAAGGGACCCACATGGAACCTAAAAGAGATTGAGTTGTCCAAGTAGAGGAAAATGGCAGTGGTGTTCCTTTCAGGCCCATCTCTTCAGCTTCCATGTGGACCATCTTCCCCGGTGTATGCTTGTCAGTCTGTGAAGGAGTTTGAATGCCGGGTTTCGACGCATCACCTTCACAACTACTCACAAGTTGACCATCCCAGCATAACAAATATGCGTCCTTGTTGTTCCAAGACAATCTCAGTCGTGGGAAGATTGGACCTACCAAAACTATAATAACGATTTTTTGCTGAAGGGTGTATAGTTAAGCCCCAACCTAATCCGCTCCCTGAGCTAGAGCAGAACAATGTGAACCCAGGCAACTAACCCAAACAAATATGACATTTTTTGCCGGGCACCTCAGTTTGTGGAACATGCCGGACTCCCGGACTCACGGGCAAACAGCGTCTACCGTGGCGCAGAAACTTTTTTCCCGCATACGTGCTGCTCTTCCACAGCTGTAACCGTATGGCGCCTGTGTCATCTGCACGGGCACGACTCACCCAACTTGACCGCGAGAACACCAGACTCCACAGCCAATTCTTGAGGGAAAAAATTGGTGAGAGGTAGTCTCCGAGGGGTGCCCAGGATAAAAATGAGAACGAACAACGACGACAATAATCCCTGCAACATCTAACAACAACAATCAATACAATATCAACAACAACCATCAATGCAACAGGTCCAATAGGTCAAAACACGCAACCGTTCGTGTAACACAAGACTAACAAAAAAACGTAAATCACTGGACTCCGGAGGCCTTTAAGGCCTTGTATATAGATGTCTGGACTTTCTGGTCCATTTTGAACTTTTGGGCAGTGTGTGTGAACTATTTGCGCTGAACTGCGCGTGATGATTATTTCCCTCGGCTTGGAACAGTACGTTTGTCAAATGGAACGCTCTGCAGTAGGCTCGGAACGCTCATCAGGTCGATCCAATGCGGCCTGGCAGATTGAACAGCATGAAAAGCACCCTCTTTTCAAAGGGGCGGGGCAAGGGACACGTGTCATGTGTAAAACCATGCATGGGGATCACAGTCATGATATGTTGAATTACGTTATATATATATATATGTACAAAGTGTGTATATATATATACTTTTTATTTTTGACTTACATATTGATATGTTGCGTTGCCCTGTGGAGCACATGACAAATGAACTGCACCGTCAAAGACGGTTGGAGTTGGACCCCCGATTTCACAGTTCACTGAGCAGTTAACTGCCTTTCTCGCCTGCCTTTTCATCCCCAACACAAGTACCCGATGCCATCCGGTACCCAGTCCTTGGCACTGTACAATCTCCCGGCTGCCTCCACTTGGTGAGCCCTAAATTGCACACTTCGATGAGACAGCGGAGTTGAAAAATACCAATATACAATACAAGGACTTTTCCGCGCCGTGTTGACGGCGCGGTATCCCGGCCGACTTCCATCCCACAGCTGCATTGCAAGGACTGCGCGTAAAGGACTCTCTTCCCCGAACAGTTTACTTTTGGGGTCTCTGGCTCTCTCTTAGAAAATCAGAA